TGTAAGCCGCTCTGAGACACCATTGGGTAGTGAAGGGCGGAGTATAAATCCAATCTCCTCCTCCTCCTCCTCCTCCTCCTCCTCCTCTTCTTCCCAGAGCAGTGCCCAGAAGGGTGACTCCATCCTTTGGAGCGTGGGTTGGCTGAACAAGCTAAAATCAACAGTGGCATTTTAAGAAAATAAGCAGACTCTTGCTGGTTCTGGTCAAGGCCCTGCTAGTGCAGTATTTGATTTCCAGTATCAGCCAAACAGATATTTCTGGGCATTCACAAACAGGCCATACACATGCACAGTGGTTAGAGTGCTGGAAAGATCCAGGTTCCAGTCCTGCTCTAAGGACACAAACAGAAACCATGAAGAGCATGGATACTTGTCTGTCTATGAGAGGAGGAGGAGATGACTGGATTTATATCACTACCCAAAGGAGTCCCAGAGTGGTTTACAATCTCCTTTCCCTTCCCCTCCCCACAGCAGACACCTTGTGAGGTAGGTGGGGCTGAGAGAGCTCTTTCGAGAACTGCCATTGAGAGAACAGCTCTGAGGCAACATGTAACTGACCCAAGGTCACACCAGCAGCTGCATGTGGAGGAGTAGGGAATCAAACCTGCTTCTCCCAGATTAGAGTCTGCACTCCTAACCACTACACCAAACTGGTTTACACTGTCAGGGGTTTGGACCCCATAGTGAATTTTCACTAATAGACAGCATTTCCACAAGCGGAACTGGGCTTCCACGGCTCCCCCTTGCTCCTGCAGCTCAAAATGCCTCCCCTCAATGGTGTGCTGCTCAGTGACAGGGAACCCCTCCAGGAACAGCCATGAAGAGCAGATCAGAGGTCTGCACAGGGAGGGGGGATTTCTGCAGAAATTGCCCTTCTTCCATTAGGGGAAGTTCCCTGTGGAACTGAAGCCAAGATTCAGACGGAGGCTATGTAGAGGAGATTTAATATTTCAGTCCCTGCAAACAGAAACTGGGCACTTCGTGTTTTTGTCATCACTTTAAACGGTAAAAAATCAAATGCTAGTAAAAAAAAAAGCATCAACTCCATATCAGTTTGCAGGAGGTGAAGGATTAAATGCCCTCCCTCTTCCCAAGCCACCCCCAGTCCAAATCAGGTCTGCTCAATCATGCAATGTAACTTTGAAAGGCAGTGGTGTGCACTGGGGGGGGGGCTGGGGGCCAGTCTTTTTCTGCCGGCCTAACTTGCCTCCTAACAATAAAGGAGAAGGGCTGGGTATGAACATCTCGGTGGAAGAACGGGACAGAAACCTCAGAGATTGCCAGCATCATATATTAAGAGATTCCCTCTCTTACTGCCTAGAGGTTGTTTTCCTGTTGTGGTTAACAACGACATTTCCATGAGGTTCTCTGATCCTTCTTCAAAAGCCACCTCCACCTGCACATCTGGTGATTGTGAATCCCATATAAGAACTTCCTGGCAGGATGAGGCTCAGGTCCAAAAATATTTTTAAAAGCTTACAGAAGAGGCAAGATTTGAACCAGGGACTTTGTACACTACAGTCCCTTGACTGACTTGCTTATTTTGTTAGAAGCCATTTTTCCCTTTGCATTTTTGAAGCGCAGCATGGCCTTCCTTAATTACGTGTCTGGCAACTTTCCATGTAGCTGTTTGTTCTATAAGACGTTGCTTCGTGCCAGTATTCACACAGTTCCTGCTGGTAAGAAGATGAAGGGAATTTGAATGCTAATGGATACCAAGAGCACTACCAGTATTAACCGCACAATACTCTGTGCAGCCTGCTGCACAAAGGACCTCTTGCAGATAATATTTCTCCTATATTCTCTGCAGCAACTCCATTAGCAGGGGTAATAGGGTATTCCAAAGAGAGGTCATGTCTGTGTCTGTCTATCTGTCTGTCTATCTATCTAAAACACACTTTTTTACTGTGGTTAGCAGTCAGTACTTAGCAAGCCCCCCACTCCAGATAAAATAAAATAAAATAAGGGTGACAATTTGCTGTCACGCACCTTGAAGTGCTCAATCTCATTTTCTGATAACTGTCCTTGCGTGCAGTTGTGTTTCATTCACTGCTGCTTTTGGAAAGGTTAAAAAAATGGTGCATATTTTTTAAAAAATATCTGGCATTGCAAACTGCTAGAACTTAAAAGTGTGTAAGTGTTTAGGAATATTCATGGGCTCCCTGGCATATTGTGATTCAGAGATGATTAAATTAGCTTGAGCAATTGAGGAGTTATGAAACTATCTGTAGTAGCATCTATGTATTATTCATATGGAAGCTAATGAGGAAATTGAAGGGGGATAACTAGGCAGAAGTTGACAATAGGCAGCTTTATCCTTTCGAGGGAACAGACCGTTTATCTCCAGCTTTCTTCATTACTGGCTCAGAAACTCTGGATTATTCTGCATTACTCTCAACTGCAGCATTCAGCTCACAGATAACCATGCGCTTTACAGTCTTTCATTCCCCGAATAACAATTTAATGAAATGTTGTACAAACTAATTGCAGTGGGGCGCTTGTAATAGAATTTCCCCCTCCCGCCTGGGTACGTTTCATTTGTATTGCTTCCTTCTTCTGAGGAGTTTGGTACACTATTCAAGGGGTTTCTCAGGTAGGCTCCCATCCAGAGGCTGGGCAAAAACTGCTAGATCTTCATGTGGAGATACAGTTGTCTGCCAGTCAACACACGAGGGTGCACTCACTCGTGTCTTCTGCTCAGGAGCTCCACTGCTCATGCAGGTAGGGAAGGTGGGTGGACAAAGAACTGTGTTAAGCACCAGGGCAGGGAACCACAACAACAACTCCATCAGGCCTGCCTAACTTCTGAGATGGAACTATTTATTTATGTATTATTTGTATTTATATCCCGCCCATCCCGTGGATGGGCTCAGGGTGGGTACCATCATTATAATA